ACGGCTCCTTCCAGTACCCCACCCCACTCCCTCCCTCATCACCGGGGCTTTGATTTGCCCCTCCGCACCCCTTCTCTCCCCTCCTCTCTGTCCATCGCAACAGACTTACTGGCTGCGCGCAACTGTATCAGAAATTGGATTGGTATCAGTGAATATGCCTCCTTAAAAATCAGCTATTGGTATTGGCCCTCAAACTCTATTGGTGCACCCCTACTGCCAGTATTAGCACTTTGGCTATCTGTCTGCCTCTGCTTTTATTTGCTTAATCTACAACACCCAATTCCTTTTCACAATCTAAAATAACTATCAGTTCAACAGATATGAAGAACATATATTCCAAGTTAGTAAGACTTTGGGAAAAGGATGTGTCTTCATTTTCTAAGAAAAAAAACTATTTTCTTTTTACCTAAAAGAAAGCTAACAATTTCTTCTTCAGGAGCTATCTAAAGGATCCTAACACAGACACTGCCATAGGTTTGGACTAATGTGTTTAGGAGCCAGCTCTTCCACTCAGACTCATCCTACCAGATACACCCGTTTGCCTTTCCCATGTTGAAACTGCAGGTTAAGCAAGATGCTAATACATGCTTTAAGTCAAGTAATGGCAAGTTATTAAGGCAGTGGCAAGCTTTTCAAACCAAGAGTAAAACAGTGATGTGCAGCTGCACGTTAAATATAATGCAAATCTCTGAGCAGTGCAAGAATTCTGTATTTTACATATTACTGCAGTGGGACATCTATAAGAAGCAGTTTTTTCTCCTGTATATAGAGAAAATAGCATGAAAACACAAAACAAAAACAAGTGAATGATCCTTGAATAGAACAATAAGAAGGCATGGAACTATTAACCAGGAAAACAGAGGCAAGGACACAATAAAACAAAAGATGGATGTTGAGTTACCATGATAAATGGGCTCTGGGCAAAAGAAAAAGGGAGGAAGGAAGGGATGGATGCCCACAGAGAAGCCAAACAAAGTGAAAAGAGAACAAAGAGACATTTAGATCAACAGGATTTATTTGGGACTTCCAACAAAATGCAGCCATTTTTCCAACATGTAAGATCTTGGGAATCTCTCATGCTAGGTGAGGGTACTAAAGAGGCCCAGCTAATTGTAACAAATAGGAAATAATTTCAAAATATAACACCTCTGTTTAAATTAAAAAGATATGTGTCTTAATTTCAGTGAGTTCTAGCATGATATGATACTAACTGAGACTGTTTTTAAACTACCAAGGTGCAACTTACTCCTACTTGTACCACTGGTTTGCTATTTTGCAATTGATACAAAAATTTAGCTGTTGCTAGCTGTTACACTGTGTTTTACAGAACAAGGTCAGAAGCTGTGAATTAGGGGGGCAATATAACACTTTCTTCTCACCAGCTCTATTGCAAATGAACAAGATAAGCAGATAAAACTAGTCTGAAGGAAAATGCTTCTATTATAGGAAGGGGTGTACTTGGTAGCCGTGTTAGTCTGAGACAAAAAGACATACAAAAAACTAGAACTCTTGGTTTTTGTATGTCTTTTTGTCTCGGACCAACACGGCTACCAAGTACACCCCTGAAACATGGAAGATGCTGAATTTTAGCCAATTTTGGAATTTAAATTTTATTTCAGAACAAAGAAGTTTTTTTTTTTTTAACTTCCCTGCCTGCCATCTGACACCTCCAGGAAAGGAATTCTACCTGATCAACACATCAAAGAGCTACTCAACACAGCTCCCAAAAACACTCTCATGGACCCAGAGGGACAACCTTCCATCTTCAGCTCCCTCTGTGCAAAAATGAAGTTTATTTCCTACCTACGGGGACTTTTTACTGTCTTGTACCATCTACACTTTTCCCAGAGCCTGATGAAGGGACTTTGATCCTGAAAGCTTGCAGAAAAGGACAATTTTCTTGCCATTTTCCAGCTGATCTAATAAAAGGTATCATTGTGGAACCAAGAGTTCTAGTTTTTTGTACATCTATTATAGGAAGGAGCTCATGCAAATCTCCTGCTAAATAAACAAGACAGAATAGGAAAGAAAAAAAAATGTAACACTGAAGCACTTACATATATATTAACTGAGAAATATCTACAAACACTTAAATCTATTACACAATACAGCAAGTCTAGAGTGTTTTGTCAACTACGACTAGTCCCCAAATTGTACTCAAGACATCTATGGGCAAATAGGAACAATGATGGAAATAAGCTTGTAAAATTATCACCAGGCAAGATACTTCAAACAGGTTTACTCCTATGTGTACTTCTATGCTGTATCCCCAAAAGCCAGTATTTAGCTTATTCAGAGTATAATAAATAGACCTGTCATGTTTATGACTCCCCAGATATTACTGAAATAGGAACTCATCTGCTGCTCTTGTCAAGTCATTCCCATCATTAACAATAGAATTTATCCTAGCTTGCTTCACATGCCCATAATGGACCCAGGATTTGGGATGGCCAGGAACAGCACTGGGTGAAACCTGCATTGAGTACAAAACACTGACCACCACTGAAAGGCAAGTTTTAAAACAGATATAGAAAGAGACGTGAGAGTCTGCCATCTCATGGATATTAACAGAAGCAGTTCATGAATTTCCAGGACAAATGACATTTCCCCGCCCAGAGCTCTAAAGCAGTGGTTCTCAACCTTTTTGTACCAAGACTCATTTGTAGACATCAATGGCCACTCCCAACCCAGTAAATAGTTTAAGTATAGAAAACACACAAGTATTCTGGCCTCAAAATACTTCTTACACACCAGAAATTAAAGCAGCTCAAGGTCTTAATTTTAAAGACAGAAATCAATATCAACAGGAAACATTAATAACAATATCAACATATGGCCATCCATTACTCTCAAGTGACATTCATCATTGTGCAACTTGCACAATGCAAACTGCCAGTACCCCTAATTCATGACCAGGGATCCTAGTTTACTCTGATAAAAAAAAGTCCCCAATTTTCCGGTAACCAAAAATTCACATTTTTCTGCGATCAGAATGAACGACCAGTAATAGAACAGGCAGGAACCATCTCTATGCACTGAGACTCACTGCTACTGCTGCTGCCACTGCCACCAGAACCGTGGCACCAGTCACACCACTAGCAGTGCAAGGAGTAACAAATGGGGGGGGGGGGGCATACTGCTCTCACTTCCTCTGGCCACAAGCTGCATGCACACCAGGCCACAGCTCTACCCTGCTGCCATGGCCTGGCCACCACTGTTTCCCTCAGGCTGCTCAAGCTGCCTGCCACCCTACCTCTCCTTCAGGGTCAAGCAGTGTACTGAGGGAAATGGTGGTGACAGGAGGAGGTGAGGGCAGCACGATCCCTGCCCCTCACATCCATTATTCCTCACACAGCTAGCAGCATGGCTGGCACAGGGGTCCTGCTAGCTGGAGCAATAAGTCTCATTGCCCTGCTCTATCCTCCTGTGCTGAGTCCTGCCTGCTGGGTTGCAGACGTGGGTCCTGCCTATGCCAGTCCGACCAGGCTGCAGACCTATTCTCGCTGTGGCCCACAAATCTGGGAGGGCATGTGCCCCCCCGATGTGTCGCCTGTGCTGCCCTGATGCAAATGTACTTGGCACCCACTGCCTGATCACCCTCCCCCTGCTTCCCCCCACCCCAAGGAGCCTCTCAGACTGGAACTCTGCCAGCCTGCCAGGGGAAGCCTGTGGCTTCCCACGTTCTTCCTTCTTTAAAGGAGAAACTTTAGGGGTGCACTGGTAAAGATTTTCTTGGCCAATACCAATAGCCAATTATTAACCGGGCATATCGACTGACACCAATCCAATAACCAATTTACAGGAATGCAACCTGGCAGCATGGAGAGCAGTACCCTGCAGGTAAGTCTGTGGAGCAGATCAAGGTCTCCACAGAGAGGGAGGGAGTCAGGCAGGAGCAGGGGCTGGGGGTGCTGCCCAGCCAGGGCAGTGAATAGGACTGGGGGCTGGAAGTGGGGCAGGGCCACAGGCACTTGTCCAAGGGATCAGCGTCCTGGTGCTTAAAAATGGTGGTGGGGGCACTCGAACTAAAGCTCAACGGAATGTCTGAGTGCCACTACCATCATTTTTAAATGTAAGGATGTTTTAACTGGAGCCAAACAGCTGTTTGCTGTGGCCTCAGGGCTCTCTGCTCTGCTGCCTTTGCCCTAGGGACCCTGCCCGGCCGGCAGCAGGAGGCACAACTTGCTGCCCCCACAACTGCCGGGCAGGCAGGGGACACACAGCCAGGACAGGGCTCCTAAGGGAAAGGCAGCAGGGCAGAAAGCCCCAAGCCCACACCAAACAGCCTGCATCCACCCTGTGCACAAATCGGAGGGTGGCACATGCCCTGCCATGCCTCCCCTGGGTGGTGCCCCTCCTCCCCACCCCACACCCCCTGGACAAGCTGCTTGTGGCTCTGTCCCACTCCCAGCCCTGGGTCCTGTTCACCGTCTCAGCTGGGCAGCGCCCCCAGTCCCAGCCCCGCTCCCTGCCTCGCCAGGGGCCTCGATCTGCCCCGCCACCTATGCCCCTTCCTCTCCAGACTTACCCACAGGGTGCTGCTCTCCACACTGCCTGGATGCACCCTGGCCACACGCATGTGTGCGGCTGCGAGGGAGGGGCGCAGGTGGCAAATATTTGTTGGCTAACATTATCAGCCCAAAAAAACCCAAGGAAACAAAACAAAAAACCCCAAACCAATAGTCAATAACATTAATTTTCCTTTCATCCGTGCGGATCTGATACACGGCAGATAGATCGGTGCACTTCAAATCCATGATTTTCCACATTTTTCTGTGACTGCTCACAGGCCCTTTCAGATATTCTTAGGCCCCACTTTTGGGTCACGGTCTGTGGGCTGAGAAACGCTGCTGTAGAGGACATTCAAAGCAGCTGAACGAGTGTAAAACTGGGGAGCTTAAATGCTTAAGTGCTCCCCGGCACAGGCGCGCACTTGTGTGGACACACATGCACACCTCACCCCACCCCCAGCGGGCTGGGCCCGGGCACCTGCCAACGGCGGGAGGGGGGGGAAGGGGGATTACGCCCCCCCAACCGCCGCCGGGGTCTCGAACTCCCTTCCCCCACCGCGGTGACGTCACAACCCGCACAGCCCAACTCACCGGCCCCGCGCGCACGGCTCCGCAACTGGTCGGCTGGCCCGACCTCCGCCCGCGGGCCCACACGCCTGCGCACTACTCCCCGCACCTTCTTCGCGCGCCCCGCTTGGAAGGCGAATCTAATGCGTCACTTCCGGGTCCAAGGGAGGGGGAGGGGCGGGGTTCCCCATCTGGGGGGCTGAACATGGCCCCCAGGCGCAGGGCGGGGGGATACGTATGTCCCGCCTCCCCGAGGTGACCACTGCAAAGAAAAATAGGAAAGAAGGGGGAAAAAAAGACACGATATTGCATTGGCCGGGAATCGAACCCGGGCCTCCCGCGTGGCAGGCGAGAATTCTACCACTGAACCACCAATGCAGCTCTGACAGTGGCCGTGCCGGAGCCCTCCCTGAGGCTACCTGACCCTGCGTTCACAATGCTCTATTACCATGAAGAGGCTGAGATCCTACCCTCGCTGCCCACTCCGCACCTGCTCCGGGTTCTGCTGAGGGGCTCCGCGGAATCAGCATCCGTCACTGCACAGGAAGGGATCCCCCCGGCCGGTGACGGGCGGCAAGGATGCAACACCTTCATCCGCGCTAGGTGAAGTGTACAGCACCTCCGTCACAGCCCGAAGAGAGGACGACCTAAGCTAAATAGCGAGGACCAGCAGCCGTGCGGTGGTGCCGTTGACTGTCTGTGGCACTGTCGCCTACCTACCCCAACCCCACTCCTCCCGACTCTTCTCTCTCGCCACCTAAGAGAAACCGAGCATGTTAACGAGCTGCTACAGACTGTCCCGCAACCAGAACACAACATTGTGGGCACTGCGTCACAATAGGACCAGTTGTTACGTCGCTGGACTCGCATCCGAATTCTGGAACGAGTACGTTTGAAACCCCGCAGGCCTGGGCCAGGGGGCAGCGGAGGGGGTCGCAAGGCCTAATCCGTGCCAGAGCATTGCTAGGGACATCGTTCCCTCCCGGGCTTCCCTAGTGATTGGGCTGCTCCTCGCAGGACACGCATGTGGGAAGCGCTGCGTCCATCCGGGGAAACGGGCATCAGCACTAAATTTGCCCGAAGACACGGAAAAATAAATGTCATTTTGTTTAATTGAAGCAACGGGGCATTATTTTCCCACCACTTCTCACACTCATCCCAAAGAAAATGTCCTCCTGACCTCAGGTTCTCCAACGGAAAGGTATTCAGATGCTTGATCAGAAATCTTACCAGCTTCATTCAGGGGCTAGAAGTGGTTTGTTGTTTAAATTGCAATGTACAGAGATTTATTTAGAATAAGTGCTTTGGTTCGGCATGACATCATTTTCAGCCAACTCTAACATCAGGCAACAACCGCTCTTCTGCCTTTCCAGGATATGTGCTGGAGGAAAAAAAGTGTCCTAACAATTTTTTGTTGTTTTGTAAAATAAACTTTGTCTCCGCACCAATTCCTCTCCAAGTTACAGAAAGTGTTGCGACACTAAAATTCACAGAAGCACAGAATCCGGTCTTTCAGGAACAAGCAGCAGCAGTATTGTTGGGAAGAATTATTTTTGAAAAACCTGTAATCTTTACACTAATTTGTGACCAGCTCTGAGAGACAATTTGATCATATACTACTATATATACAGTCTCTCCTGAGCTTATAAACCTCTCCTGAGGTGTCTAAGAAAACTAGAGAAGTAGCGCCATTGTTTCTCCAGAAGATGATCTGAAATGAGAAGTTAGTGAGCCAGTCTGAATTTTTATTAATTTCCCCAGCTGCTCTGAATCAAGCAGTTTGGCTAGGACATGGTTCCCTCACTGCATACAGGAGAAAAGATTCAATGTAGAGGGATCAATAATTGCTGGCAACAAGAGGTGCACCTTCAGTGGGAGACAAACCTCTGACCAGAATGAGGGGGGAGAGACCTCTTCAGTTTGTTATGTAAACAACCATAAATCTCTCTTGCACTAAGATTAAAACCTAGGCATAATTAAGACATTCCCTTGCAAAGCACAAGTATTCACTTGCTTTGGCTGATAGTTCCCACATGGAACTGGAGTATTCAAGTCTGAACTCCTAGGAGAGCATGCAAAAAGTACTGGGGGACTTGATGCACTAGGTTCAGGATGTCAGAGGGGACCATGTTAGATACAGTTTTCACCTGGGAAAAGAACCTGAATGATCTAGGAAGACAGCAAACAATTTACAACTACTCAGTCACAGGTCACTTAGTAGCATGCAGGATCCAAAAGGTTAGGTTTACAGGAGACTCTTGACAGTCCACTAGGGAGAAAAACAACTCAGCCAGGGCAATAAAACTCAAGTTCTAAACTGAACTGAAACAGCCACCAGAAGATCAATTCTTACCCCAAGACATCGGTAAGAATGTTTTTGTTCAACAACTTGAATAATATTTTAGTCCTATTCTCAACCTAGACAGACAGGGATTTTTTTTTCTTTAAAAAAACAACCACCAAACAGGTATTCACTGTATGGATTTCCCCACAAACTACAGCCATAAATGCATGTTTCTAAAACTCCAATAACTTATTTTGAAATCCAGAATTTGTATTTTGACTCAGTCTGACCTCTTGGAAAAAGGATAACCTTTCACCAGCCATCAGTGAACAAAACTATAGCTGTATTTCATTTCCTGCCAGCAAGCAAATCAACTGGAGGAACTAGTACAGAACATATATCTTCTTGAAAAGCATGCATATTAAGTCCCTGTTTGCATTTTTAAGGCCCTTAGTAGAACACTTTTTCAAAAGAAAAAATCCAACACTTTGTTTTAAATCGCATTTCTAATACAGGAATACTAACGTAATGCTGTACCTTCACAAAAAGCAGTGGCTTAGTGATGATCTACAGGAGACAATTAGTAGAACTGAAGCATGGTAATCTTGATGGTTTTCAAGTGGGAAAAGGAAGAGATGAGCAATATAAATTGCAACTGTTGAGTGACAAGTTATAGTACAGGGGTCAGAAACTAATGTCAGATCCTGGAATACAGCAACATCCCTATCCTTGCTACATGGTGATGCTTTGGTTCAACAGTAAAGAGCTGTGGTAATGCTATTCACAGGAAAGTAAGAAAACAGAGGAAGACCAGCAACTTTTAAACAATATCAAATTGTATTTGATTAGCAGTACAAGAATTTGCTTTCCACTTTGCATAAAGAAAATGTAATTGTATTTTATTTATTATCCCAGGAGATGTTACACTAAGAAACGGATATTCAGGAAGTAGAAACAGATTCAGAAAACACTCAGAGGGAATGTCACTGCTTACCAATAGCTATTACATTCAGAAATAAAAAAGATGAATTATACTGTCTGCCAAGGCTATAATTCCTTCTCTTCATTCAAAGCCCTTTTATAAAGTTGTAGTGTTTTGTCAGCAGAATGTTTATGATACAAAAGACAGTATACACACCCACACACCCCAACACCCTTCTCCCAAATACAATAGAAAAGTAAACTTGTATAATGCCTTTACACAGAGCATCTTAAGGCGCTAAAATTTTTTTACCATTATGACAACTCAAACTTACTATGTCTTTGCTCTGGTTGACGTAAAGCAAACAGATTAAAGGTCTTACTTTAAATACCAAAGGCATCTGAAACAAGTCTAATGGTACCTTGGGTAACCACAGCAGCATCTAAGAACCCACCCATTGCATTCCCTAATAGCTAAAATAACATTGAAGAAGTTCAAACAAATCATTCCCACTCACAGCTTTTCATTTTGCAACAGCAGAAGGTAAGATTTTAAGTCAGTCTTGAAGTGACTTTCTGGTCATATATTCTATAGCTTCTATTACAAAAACAGAGACAGAAAAAGATACAGCAAGAGGGCCTGCCCTAGGATAGAACGTCATCGAACAATACATCAGAACAGTATTTACAATACAGTTACATGATTATAGAACATTTTATAAATACAATTTATATGTATACATGGGGGGCAAATACAAGACAAACCATGACTCAATTTTAATTCTTTACAAGTAAAAACATTTAATTTGAAAAAAGGTTGAACTAAGATTTCTGATTACAGAATCTCACAGCTGCTCATTATTAGTGTTCATTATCAGCATGAATTGGTCCCACAATAGGAATAAACCTACATTAAAATGCCCTGGAAGGTGTTAGAGCAGCGGTTTTCAGCCTGTAGTTTGCAGACCCTTGGTGGTCCACCATCTATATCTAAGGGGTTTGTGAAAGATGGCTGCTATCAATCAAAAGTATATGAATACCCCGACTTATAATTCAAACGGGTTCACAATTCCATTCAGAATTTGTTAGGGGTCTGCAAATGAAAATGTTGAAAACCACTGTTTGAGCAAACATTATGAAGGACTGAAATAGCCATACAATAAACAATAGATACTAAGAATCACAATGTGCCTTAGATCCATGTCTGGAATTACACTGAAGTCAATGGGGGCTCCATACATGGGAGCAGAAGAGCATATTGGAGAGCTCTGCATCACAATGGCTTATGAGAATATTTTTAATTTTCCTAGAGCAGACTTTCTGTAGTGAACTTGGATATCCAGGAGAGAAATACATGCATCAATTACTGCAGCATCTAAACCACAAAGTTCAGAAAGTAGGAGCATCAGAAGTGTAATGCCAGATAACAACAACAACAACAAGCTTTGAGGGCCCAGCAGGGGTTCGAGACCCAACTCCCCTTTTATATATCAGTAAGTATTCCAAAACAACAGAACAGTACTTATCTCAGTAACCTGCATACTAACTTAAAATCTCAGTTATTCAATTTAATAAAGCATTCTCATTTTGCATTGTAGACCTTGATGGACTGGGAAAAGAGAAATGTGTTTTGATAGTCATTAAAATGATATGGTTAATTAGACCAGACATCATTTTCTAGGACATTTTTAGGAGTCAACAAACAATGAAAAATTGACTAAATTGTTTTTAACCAGTAACTGCAAGTAGAGGAGATCAAAATTGCCAGTTTTTAAATGGAACACCTGTCACTATTATGAAGATTTTTTAAATAGTTTATTTTGAAAGAAAGCTTATATTTATGAGCATATAAAATGCTTGAGTATTTATACATTGCATCCACTTTACTATGTAAAAACTAAACTTGATGAATATTAGAGTTGGTGAGATAGAACAGCTGTATCTAAGATAGGCACACAGGACATGAATTATGTTTTACAGATCCATGCCCTCTTGGATTATAGAAAAAAAGTTACCTTTTTATTAAAAAGAACCAAAAAAAGTGTTGTTACATAAATGTCTTTTCAGCAAGAGAGTTCCTTCACAGCAGAAGAAACCAGAAAAAAATAGGACTCTCCTCTTAAAGACATTTACCTATGATAGCACCATAGGGCTGCGTGTAGTCCTACTTGCTACAAGTTCTGAATGGTGGTTTCATGATACTTAATGAGGTCAGAATACTAGTACAATGGCCTGGATCACAGTAAACAAGAAGTATTAATGCCTAGAGATGCATGATGAGTATTAGAAGATGGTAAGTTTGTTCCCGCTGGTGCTGAAACAGCAGGGATTTTTATTTTAACCTAAAAATAAATGCACTGGCATTTTCCTCTTCTCCCCACCAAAGTGGTTAGCTATGGAAGAGAGAGAGGCACAAGTCTTTTCCTCCCTCACCTATAGAAACCACCTTTCTTGTGGATGGGACTGCTGCTTATAGCCATCCAACACTCATTAATGTTACAGCTATAGACTGATTCTAAGACTTCCGCTTAGCTGCTTCCTTAATACAATGAAACCAGCATTCAGAACGGTACTATGATAGCAGATGCAGCCTTCAGCATACAAAGCACCAGAGACTGTTCTGCTTTGAATTAGGCTGTGAAGGATGAGGCACCAGACATGGAATGATGAAAACACAGACAGCTTGTATAGGATGATATATCTCTCTATCAAGTTTGTTGCCAGGCACCTGTATAGTAGTGTTTCCCATTGGTTAAGTCTAACAAATGAAACTGGTTTTCCCAACCAAAAAAAAAATTATATATATGAAATGGTTCTGTTGCTTGTCCCAGCCTTTGAGTTAGTGAAGAGGAAATACTGAGAACACGCACTAACTCAAAGGCTGGGACAAGCAACAGAACCATTTTTAATTTTTCAAGCTATAATTTTCCCCCCAAGCTATAAAGTTTTTACAGACTTTACAACTTCATTTCAATCAGAAATGAGACTGCAGAGTTTCAGTATAAATTTTTAGAAAAAAACCCCAAAAACTTAATTCCCGCCACATCTTTTAAGAGCTGCCCATAGGAAGAGAGCTAAATTAGTATTAAGCACTCATGCTAGTTCTAGAGTACCACAGTGCCCTAAATTCAGTTATTTTAAAAGTCATTTAAGTTAAATACAAAACCTCCACAAATTTAACACTTTACCATTTATAGTCATATTTTGTCCAAGACTGTCACTTCTTTGTTTCAAAGCTGTGAACTGTGCAGTTACTGTAGGGCACTGGGAATACTTACCAGGGAAATGGCTTATTTTACGTAGAATGGGGGTGAATATTGTGGGAAGACAAAGCAAAGCAGACTTGTGTCAGATAAATCAGATTGCTTTGTAAGCATAACATTCTGTATTTGGTCAACACAAGGCAGAATTGTCATTAAAAAAACTGGAACAAAAGGGAGTTTTGTTTTAAATTATTTAGCATATGTACAAATAGATAACAGGCATCTCCTTTTAAAGAAATCACTTTCTCCTATTTTGAGTACTTCCAGTACAAAGAATTGATAATAAAATTTGGTACATAATTTATTTTTTTCTAACTTCAATTCTTTTCTAAATTAAAATGATCATAATGCTGGAATAAATTAATGTTTGAAATGGAGTTTCCTGCATTTCAGGGAAACAATGTGCAGAGAACAAAAATGTTCTATCATAAAATTTTTCTTTTAAACGTGCACATATTCACCCTAGCAACCTTCTATCAATTCTCTTATTGAGAAGCATTTTAAAAAATGCTAACTGCAAAAAACATTCAGTTAAATCATTTTCAACTTCAATGTTAAACATAAACTAGATCACGATTTTGAACCCCTTTGCCTGCCTGTCCATCGTCGTCATCTGACTGCTGCTCCAAGTTTCGTGGATTACTGTATTCATATTCAATGGGCTTTGGATTATTGTAAGGATAGCCATTATCATCAAAAAACCTTCGGAATGTGAACTCATAAAAAGCATGTTCAGGATGTTTCCCATTTTTGTACCATCCATTAAGGGTGTCATTTACATTCCCTTCCTTATCATCACTCCATAACTTATCTGGATCAACTGGATCAAAATTTGATGTGTCTGTTGGATAAGCAATTTTGGGAATGTAGAAAGCGGGCTGCCGTCGCAAATCACTTGAAAAATCAATAGTTTTAAAAAACGGATGCACTTTTATTTCATCTGCACCATTCTTGCCCAAGCGGTCTTCTGGCCCTCGGCAGAGTTTTATAATAAGGTCAGATGCCTCTGGAGTCAACTTAGCTTGGGGTGGAATATGAAGAGCTGTTTGCCAGTTGATAACCTGCAAAACAGAAAAAAAATGAAAATCTAACAATTTTTTTTTTTTTAAGAAATTGCAAACAGAAAATAAAAGTGAAACCTGGAAATAAACTGTTCAAAACAGGAAAAAAGGAACACTGTTTTCAGACTGCAAATGGGTGCCTGGAAAGAAGTTTTTTGTCAAAAATGCAAAAAAGACATACTTCTGACAGTTTTACTGTAATATATTTTAGGTATTTATATAATCCAGAGTATTTTAGCACCTCATAGTCTTTGCTATATTTATCCTTACAATAACCCTGTGAAGTTTGAGAGTACTATTACTGTCATTATTCAAAGGGAATACTAAGGCACAGGAAAACTAAGAAAGAAAGATGCACTTGTTTTGACACAAACAAATGCAAAGTAATTCATTTAGGAACAAAGAATGCAGGCCACACTTATATGATGGTGGGACTTCATTTGGAAAACAGTGACTCAGGGTCATGCTGGCTCATCAAATTAAACTGAGCTCCCAGTGTGATATGATAATTTAGCAACCAGCCCAGTCTTCGGGTATACAAACAAAAGGACAGAGAAGCAGGAAAACGTAATGTTGCGTGAGATATTAGCGAGACCGGTACTGGGGTGTATTTCAAGTTATGGTGTCCAGATTTTATGAAGGACTAACCGGAAAGAGCTCCCAGACAGATTCAAGATCTGGAAAACTTACCTTACAGCGACAGATTACAGAAAGCTGATTAATGTATTTTACGCAAGAAAAAACTAAAATGAGACTTGATTACAGTTTACAAGCATTTCCAGGGGAAAGAAGAATTGTGGTAGTAGAGAACTCTAACATACTGTAAAAATTCAAAGACCAAAAACTGAAGCTAAACAAGGTTAACAGTGAAGCTCAAGGTTTCACCTAAAAGTAATTTTTATCTGGAACAACTTACATAAGGATGTGACTGACTTTGTTACTCAAAGTATTTAAAATTTGTTTCTTAAAGATATTTTCCAAAAATCAATCTGAAGTTACAGGTTTGATGCTGGAACTGGCAAAATTACTGTTGTTATCAATGTCACAACTTAGACAAATCAGTGATGCTGGTCAGACTGAAAATTCATAGCAATTCCATCTAGTCTTAAATATATGTAATAACAGTGTAGTAATACATACATTAGCATACAATATTACATGCCTATACATACACATATATGCATATACACACATTAGATGCATTTCAATTCAACATACAAATGCTTACATACAACTGTATGTGAACTTATATATTCATACAATAAGTTCAATATACATGAATGCATTTATTCCAAGAATAAATCTGTGAGATTCTACCGATTAAGACAGTATTAGCCATTTCTCTCTTGCAACTAAAATTTTTACAGGGTTCACAAGACCTATAAACAGGGCTGAATATGTATTATGTTCTAAATTTTCTTTTACTAACATTTTCTCTGCTGTACCTCAAAGCAAATACATCATTTATTTTAGTCAATCTGGACTGAATCTAGAATGTGATACGGCTATACGAGACTTGAAAATAGTTATTAGTTTCCAATTCTGGGAGCAAGGGAGTGAGAGATAGAAACTGTTAAGTTCCTGTTCTGATGTCAGTAATGTCAGTTCAAAGCGACTAAAGGGTCAGCACACTGTTTAAGAGTAGACTCAGGATCAAAATGGGTAAAAACACAACTCTTGACAAAGCATGAACAAATTAAGAACTCTGGAAAATCTTTTATAAAAAGTTTTATAAAGTGCCTCAATGAAGAATGCTCGGGTACTTTAGAAATACTAAATAATTTAGAGATACACTAATTAAATAAAAACTCACTCTAATTATACAAAATCAGGAGACTTTAAGTACTGTACAAATCTGGACTCTGCTTTTTCAGCAAGGTGACGTTTCCTACTGTTAACATCACATTTTTTCACGTTACCTTCATTTGCGTTTCTGATGGTGTTTGTGCCAGGAAGGGAGGCTGCCCTACTAACATTTCAAAGAGAATTACTCCAACACTCCACCAGTCGCATAGCTGTGTATATCCTAAAACAAAAATAGATCTGTAAATAATCAAAACACTAGTACCATAATTCAGTCTTACATTTTAAAGTGTAACAGAACACCTGCAGAATTCCTCTCCCGTTTTCTTTCATATATCCACATTAATAAGGCATTGATATCAATTTTTGGCAAAACATTGCTATTTCCTGTGAAAAAGTACTGATCTTCAGAATGCATCAGCAAAATGTTTGGACATCAGTCATTCTGCAGAGTGATGGAACTAAGGAAGATTTACCTACCTGTTCGCAACAGTACTTCTGGTGCAATATAATTAGGTGTTCCAACAAGTGAATGTGCCAAACAGCGTTGATGCTGGCGTGCTGCCCTACGCTCAAGTGGCTTAAGTCTATCTCCACACCTGCAACTGGCTGGATCACCCCATTCATTACTGAAATCCATGCTGTCTTGACGTGGATGATCACCTGCAAAATTAAAATGAAGATGTTAACATACTGGGGGTTTTTACCCAGGTTCTCAATTAAACCCATGTTTCTCAATTTTTTGTTTCTGCTTTATGAGGAAAAAAATCGCTCTTAATGGAGCCCAGCATTTTGAAAACAAAACTGATGAGTGTGAACCTGTAAAGCAGAAGTTGGCAACTTTTCAGAGCTGTGAGCTGAAACAGCCAGACTTGGGTACAAGGCAGGCTGATGTTCTGACTCAGCTTTTCCCTACTGCTGCTTTCCACCACCCCCACAAATCCAACCTGTGGGCCCATATGTTGCCACCCCCTGCTCCAGAAGACTTAGAATACAGGTCTGTGCACTCTGCTGGGAAGCTGTTTTTGTTTTGTTTTTAAAGTTGAACTTTGAATCAAAATCATTTTGGGGGAGTTGTGGGGGGGAAGGGGAATAAATAATTTTAAAAGGGCAAAGCCCAAATCTCATCTTCTTTTCCATATTAAAGGGGAGCAAGGACGAGATGGCAACTGAAGATTGTTAAATCCATTCTGCTCTGCAAGAAGCAAACAATCTCTGCAAATCCCCTGTATAACAGGGCTCAACAATATTTAGGAGCACAGGGCCACTTGCAATGTGGTCTATGCCACCACCACCAGCGCGACAGCTGCAGTCACTGCTTCCCCTGCCACTGCCTCGCCCTGTCATCTGGCCACCACATTGGTAAAGCTCCTTATTGCCAAAATGCTAAAAAGCCCCCTAGCTCAGCAGGCTGGATCTGCCCTGCAGGCCATGGGTCACTGACCCCTATTCTATATTTTATAAACTGTGAAGTAGGCTCTAAACTTGTAAGAAGAGAATCAGTCAGGACGTTTGTTATATATGAGCAACACGTTGGAGAGGTCTGGAGATATAACAACTCTTGGGTAAAATATTCAAAACACTGAACTGCATTATGAGCCTACCTCCTGATTTAAAAATTAGCTGGATCAAGGCCAAGGAAGTTTCTGGTTAGGGACATGATTTCTGGTATAAAACCCCTCACCTACACATGGTAATATCAGTATAACTGATCCCCTTCTCTTGCAGGAATGAGGTCTGCAATGATATATTTTGGTAAAACTAAACACTGGTTACATAATTTTGCTGGTGCCCAAATATTACAATGACAGGTGTTCTGACTTTTAGATGTAAACTGTCACAATCACTCTTCTATTCATTTTTATTATTCATCTATCAGCATGGAATGACATCAGTTCAGATAACCAAAACAACCTCACGTATTTCTCTTACCACTCTGGTAGTATTTGGAATCATGGGTCCATCGAAAACCTGTACAAAGCCCGAAGTCAGTCAGTTTGATATGACCATCGCGATCAATCAAAATGTTATCCGGTTTAATGTCCCGGTGAATAAACCCCATCTTATGAACACTTTCAACCGCACAGGTGAGCTCTGCAGTGTAAAACCGTGCCAGGTTTTCTGGAAAGACACCCATTCTAATTAAAAGACTCATCATATCACCTCCTGGAATGTAGTCCATTACAAAATATAAGTTGTCTTTATCTTGGAATGAATAGTATAGGCGAACCACCCACTCATTATCAGCCTCTGCAAGGATATCACGCTCAGCTTTAACGTGAGCAACTTGGTTCCGAAGGAGCACATCTTTCTTCCGCAAGGTTTTCGTTGCATATAAAGCATTAGTGTCCACTTTTCTTGCTAGGCAGACTTCTCCAAATGCTCCAACCCCAAGGGTCTTAATCTTTACAAACATCGTTTTGTCCATTTTAGCCCTTCTGAGACGAATGTAATTAGACTCCTTCTGACACAGCATCTTTCTCATCTGATCCCGGGCTTCAGGGGACAAGCCAACCTATACAACAAACAGAGCTTGTCTGTCAAGTGAACAGCATCATTCCTTTGTGGCAATCATCATACACGCAGGAGGATCAGGCAAAATAAATCAAACACTTAAAACATAAAATGGGGAGCAGTTATCCAAGGGTTTTTTTCTTTTTACATTAACACATACTAGGACTCTATGAAACAAAAGTAACAAGACAAAATGTGCAATCTAAAGGACATTTAACAGCCAAACGCACAAGGTGCCATGCACCACCAGACTCTTGGTTAGGGAAGGGAATGGGGTGGGGTGGAAGAGAGGACAAGGTGATGGCAGTTGCCTTCCATACCCTTCTAGAAGCAACTGGATTGCTGGGTTGAAGGGAAGCCAACTGGTGACCCACCCTGCTTCACAGATGCACTTCCCATGAATATTATTGATTAGCCTAGGAAATACTCTAGATACTCAATTTTAATCGATCCTAGTTGTCTTAATTCAGAAAAGTGATTATTGGAGTCATACCTTGTTTAATTCTTGACATAGTTAAATGAACACACTGTTCTGCAGATTTTCCAACTAAATCACCCAGTCTGTTTCTCCACATACTTAATTACTTATGCATCATTATTGTGTTTTCATTTGCTTAATTTAAAAGGCAGCTTTCCCAGGGTTCTAGTCCTTTCCTGCTTCTTATGAATTATAAAGAAGGCCTGAACAGTTTTTCTGCTTGTTTCTAACCCTTAAAATTCAGGTGCTGTCTATTCTGGAAGACAATGAGTTGGCAGAAGAATTAAGCCATTCTGTGTGGCCCCCCTCACCTACTGCACTGTGCCATGTGGGCTTACCCCCAAACCCCCTGGCCTCAGGCTCCCTCAGCACATCCTGCCCTGTCCCACACCCAGAGCTGGGGACAAGAAGCAGAAGCAGGAAAAGGGAAGGGGAGTTTGTAGTAGGCCTGTGCGAATAGGGAAATACTCAATTCATAGGACAGAGATTCAATTCGGAGATTCAGATCACTGTCCCAAACCGATCAGGCCAAATTGGCTTTGGAAGATTTGACGCCAATTCAGAGACATTTGCTGATTTGGCCATAGACTATAATAGAGAATCACTGAAATACCTTTAACTTTGTCATTTTTTGGCAGATTTGGATGAAAACACCCAGGATGGTAGCCCCTTCTGAGGGCATGAGGCCTGCCAAGTTTCAAGGAGATAGGTGCAGGGGTTTCTGGGAAACTGCACCTCAAGCTTCTGAAAGCAAAACTCGTGACGTGTGACTTTGTGTGTGTGTTAAGGCACAGTGGGATGAAAACAGCAGGGATGGTAGCCTGTAACAGGGGGCCTTCCCGATGCCGGTTAGACCTCCACCCACCCATCTGTTTCTGGGCCAGCCGCCCGCCCCTCTTTTGCTCAGGCCAAAACAGCTCACGAAATGTACAGAAAGACTGCAGACAGAAGTGTATATGCTGTTTCTACGTGCCTCCCCCAGAGCACTGATTGGAAGGGGACTCAAGGAAAGATCATGGTCACTGGCCATCTACAGATGTCAGTCTCTCTCCCCCTCCTCCTCGCCCCTCTTCTCAGTTCATTCCCCTGGCAAGACTGCCTTCTGAATCTCCGAATCTTTTCCAAATCAATTCGGAGGCTTTTTTTTTTTTTTGTCTCCCGATTTGATTTGGATTCGGTGATTGGGCCTCCAAACTGGGCCAAATCTTTTCTCAATTGAATTGGCAACCAAAGCTTCGCACACCCCTAGAGTAGCTCCTGGCAGCTGTTGATGCTGGAGCTATGGGAATAACAGCAGACAGGCAGGATCCATGAGTTGGACAGCCCTGGAATGCATGGTTAATATGTATTATTAAAATGACTATTTCGTTCATAGCTTCAATGACTCTCCTTTTCAAGCAATTACTGTCTGACCACCATGCTTATGTCAAGCCTCTACTACTGTTTTTCCTAGCCTCTCATCTTCATCACTTCTCTCACTCCCCTACTCTTCATCCATGCCCACAAAACATCATCTCTATATCCATCTTTTCCTCACTGCTAGTGATAACTACCTCAACCTTAACTCACACTGCATCAAGGTCATACTTTCACCATCCATTCCCTTTTTTTTTTTTAAAAAAAACTTTTCTGTCCTCACTGAATTCCACATCTTCTGTTCACTGGCAAACCTGGACTCTTGAAACACTCTGCATGTCCCTAGTTCTCTTTCTGCTGTACCCTGTCAAATTTTGTCTCTCTTTCTCAAAACGTATGCATCACCATTCCCAAAGAAAGCCTGCAGTGGCTCACAATAAAAGACAAAGTAACCTATAAAAACAGAATGAAATAAGAAGCAGAGGAAGAACATGCAGAAAATCCTGGTGGTGGTAAGAGCAGGAAAGTGCATTTAAGAGGCAGGATTAAGAGTGGAGGTTGCATTTAATCATAGTAGGATCTTTAGGGTGAACAAGAAAGCATAACAAAACAAAAAGAGCAACATACAAAAGCAATCTACCTTACCCTACTCACTCCTGCTCCCATGTCTCTGGGTATTCCCTCCCTTGCCCAACCCCACCATTCACTTGCCTCAAAAAAAGGGAAAGGGAACAAAAATTCTTCCCATATTCCTTCTGACCCCTACCCACCAGGCCTGTACGAAGCAGCTAGTATTTGCGGATTCGGATTCGGCCGATTCAGGGGACAGCAATTCAATTCAGCGATTCAAATCACTATCCTGAATCAATTCGGCTGTATCTCCGAATTGAACAGGCCCCATCCCCTGCCCACTGTCCCAGCCCCATCAATGGCTGCCCCACCCAGCCCCAGGATCCTGGCTCTTAAAAAAATAAAATAAAAAAGCCCCACACTCACCGGCTCCTGCCAGGCAGGGGGCATCCCCGCTGCCCCATGAGCCCCCAGAAGCCCTGTCGGCTGCTGCAGCAGCCAATGAGTGCAGGGCTTTTTTTTAAAAGAACCAGGAGTTGGGGCCAGGTGGGGCAGCCCTTGACAGGGCTGAGAGATCAGGCAGGGAATGGGGCCCTGTGGCAGAGCCCCCCCATGCAGCATGGGACAGTGGGGGGCAGCGGGGATCACCCCCCTGCCTGGCAGCAGCCAATGAATGGGCTTTAAAAAAAAAGAGCGGAGAGCTGGGTCTGGGCAGGGCAGCCATTGACAGAGCTGGGAGAGCATGTGGAAGTCAAAGAGCGCTCGGGGGGCAGGAGGAGCAGGCAGGGTATAGGTTAGGACCTTTTTATTGGTCTTCCAATTCAATTTGGATTCAGAGATTCAGCCACCAAATCAGGCCAAATCTCCTCCGAATTGCATCAGCACCCAAAGCTTCGCACAGCCCTACTACCGACTCCCACTCCATGCCTCAGACCCAGGGGGGTCCCCATCCTTTTTTTCTAATCCCCCCCCCATAGCCCATACCTACTTCTCACAAGAGGACCATGGCTGTACCCAAAACTCCCTTTCTTCCAAAGAAACATATTACTCTGAAATACAACAACCCCCA